GAAGGGAATACACCAACAGCAAAAACAAAGAGGGTAAAAATCACGGACTTCTACCTGCCGTCAAAAACGAGCCAATTCATCTACCTATTGAGCACCGCAAACACTGCAAAACTAAAAAGACGTCCCTAACAAAAGAAAGAGGTAGTTAACGAGGAGTATAAATACGAGCAACCAACAAAAATTATGCAGAACGAAAAATGATACTGAAGATGGCACAACGCCGAAACCGGTTTGTCTCCAAACCAAATTTGACAAGAGATGACGGAAATTCGTTCCAAAACCCTGTCGGAAACAACAACAACCAAAAAGGAAATCTTATTTAATAGTTTATATCTTATATAGTTTTAATAAAAATAGTGCGAGCTACGTAAGAAAAAAATTACCAAGCACTGATAACGGTTTTTGATCTGAAATATTTGGGTGGTTCACAAGGTGTCGTACTTGTATTGTTGTATGTTGTAAAGTTTTTAACGGCTAAATAAATGTTTAGAGGACTTGAAACCGCCACCAAANAACGGTTTTTGATCTGAAATATTTGGGTGGTTCACAAGGTGTCGTACTTGTATTGTTGTATGTTGTAAAGTTTTTAACGGCTAAATAAATGTTTAGAGGACTTGAAATCACCACCAAATATTTTTAATTGTATGAAATTTCATAATAAAACTTTTATGTTAGCTTGCGAGTTCCTTAAATATAGTTTTAGCCGTTTAAAGTTTATGACATACAACAGTACGACAGTATACAACACCTTGTGAACTCCCTAATTATTACATTGGCATAAATATGCGAAAGAAAATTCTCCGATTTATTGCCTTAATATTATCAAAGTGGCAAGGCCGTTGATAATACTCACAATTTATGAAACTTGAAAATATTTTATTATCCGTCAAAAGTTGTTTATTGAAACTACCTTCTTTTTAGTATCATGCTCTCAATTTATGAAACTTCAAAAAATTTTATTATCCGTCAAAAGTTGTTTATTGAAACTACCTTCTTTTTTGTATGGTGGTCGGAATCATTCCCCCGTGCATAAAATCACCCGGACTAAATCCCCCAGAAAAAATCCCCCGAAAAAGAATCTCCCTGAACAAAAATCCCCTGGACAAAATCCCCTCCAAACAATATTCCCGATTATTATTGTCCGCGGGAATATTGTTTGGGGGATTTTATCCAGAGGACTTTTGTTCGGGGAGATTTTGACGCGGGGGATTTTTTCTGGAGGATTTTGACCGGGTGATTTTAGGCACGGGGGAATAATTCCTAGAGCCTTTTTGTATCATGGTTCTGATTACCAACAAAACTGATTGTATTTGTCCACAAAACGCATGACGAAGAATTGCTTGTTAGGACCTGGCCTAAGCTTACTTTTTATGCATGTAGTCCAACAACCAATGCACTTTAAAAAATGCGTACTTACGAACCCGTTTCTAAGCGTAACTGCATTACGCTTGCAAAATTCACAAATCATACACCTACAAATGTATGTAAACTCAAAAGATGCAACCAAAGGGCTACTTCGCTATTTGAACTAAATATAATATGCACTGTGCATTTAAATTTGCATTCCCGCAAGGTGCGAGTATGACTTAAAACTCCGCTTATCAATATTAGTAATTGAATCAATAATTTCACTAGAATTAAAAATTTTCAGCAAGCGAATAAAAGTATAAACATTTATTCAAATTGTCAAAAAAAAAACCGTAGTCCCAACGTATACGTTTATTAGAAAATATAAGAAGCAGTATAATTTGCTCCCATTTTGTATGGAAAGTTAATTGAATGTAGGCAAAGGGGGCATAACTGAAAATAAGGCAGCCAATAAAGTCAAAATTTACAGTTATGTGGTCTACTGACATCACCTGTATATAATTCCACCATGGCTACCTTATTCTTTCAAAAGATTAAAAACATGGTGGTTTACTTCAAAAATTTTAATTAAAATATATATTTTGAGCATCATTTTAGTGCGAGCTTTTAGTGATTTCTTTCTAAAATTAGGTATAAAATGGAAAGTAAGTGAAACTCTTAATACGTATTACATTGTGTAATGCATATAAAGTATCTATGTATGTTTATTAAATTACTTTTATCATTGTTTAGTAAGAATAAGCTGCATATTTCGGAACTCCACAAAGATGTTGTTTGTTTGTTCCAACCACTTTTCCGCGGAAAATTTTCAGCCTCAGGACGTATTTGCCCAATCCATTGTTCACATTTCCACTAAAAAGGATCCGAATTAAAGCCACGTTCTTATACATTTCTTAAAGCACAAAATATAATAATATTTCATGTAACATTAAAGAGCAGGGGCCAACGCAGGTACGGTTTTGGGGGTGTTAATGTGTGTGCGCTGAAAAGAACGGCGATCGCCTTTTTTATCAAGATTTATTGAAGTAAGGTCAACTGAAGGTGTTAGACGTAAAGGTAAGCAACTCGTTTCGTCAGTTTCTCATTATCTCGTTAATTGTTCTTCGCGCCGGACGTCCAGTAAGTGTTGTTGTTGGTCCAGTAAGTGTTGTTGTTGGTCGGAATATTATTATAGTTCATCGTGTAAGTTGCTAGTGTGGANAAAGCATCTCATCTTCCATCCGAATCAACCAAAAAGTGAAAATTGATTTTTTGACACCTAAGCCCCCTTTCCGTAGACCAGGTCACATATATAAAAAAAACCGCAAATTTGATGTAAGCTCGATGCAAAAGTGTTTTCTATACATTTGTATAAGTATGTGTATGATATTTGTGCTACAATGATTGCACATGAGAAGACACATATAAATATCATTAACATCTTTTTTGGGTGAACAACTGATCTCGAATTAAGGATTTCTCTCATGGTATTTCCACATAATATGTTAACTACTAACTAGCCGGATAATTTTAATAAAACAACATAATTGTTGGTGTATAATTATTTGTTTACATTATAGGGACACTTAACCCTCTAGAGCCTAAGACCGCCTATAGGCAGGCAATAGCAAATATTAAAATAATATACAGTTAAACGTGGTCCTATAAAAATTTATGCAAAAAATATGTAAGGCCTCCTGTACATTTGTTTTGAAGCTTCTTATCTTTTTTTGAGAGAAATTATGACCAGTTGATGTTGAAAATTCGTATGAGGTGCACGTAGTGATAGTGAAAGAAGTGAAATTTGAAAAAAAAAATAAAATAGTTATAAACGTTTTACTAATTCAATAATTTTGTATTGGCTTTGAACTCTAATTAATTATAGTGAATATTATACTGTTGCCTTTAGTTGATATTTCTTTGGTTTTCGACTTTTCTCTACTGTATATGCTCAAATTAGCATTGAATTATATTATCCATGCTCTTTATTTAAGAAATGGAAAATACAAGGCGTAGGTCTCTCCACTAAAAGATGAAGAGATACAAAGGTTTATGAATTCTCTAAATGATGAGGATCTTAGCACGGATGAAGGTGAAATCAGCGATTTTGATGATGATAGTGTCTGCAATCCAAGCTATGTTCTTTCATCAGAAGATGAAGCACAGATTGATGAATATATGGGTGAATTGGTTCGAGCACCATCAGTATTCATGTCATATGCTATTGATACATCGTTCAACATGATCAAATTTAGTGATGCCAATGAAATTAGTGCATCTGCAGTGGAATTACGGCGTTCCTCACCTATAGCTAGCTGTTCGTTTAATGTGACCGCTGATGTAGGGGCAGAGAACGAACATATTGCACGACCTGAGATTGAAGTTCGAAAAGAACTACGAAAGATTCGACTATCAAAGCGGCCCCGATCTCCATTACCAGAGCTAGATGCTATCGGGCTGGAATCAACGCGAATAATGGTGGCTTCATTGGTTCCAGTAAATATACCTAAGATTATGTTTATTCACTTAAAAACTAATAAATTCTTACTAGGTTATTCTGATTTGAATCATGGCAATCCTGAATTGAAAAAAATTATTTGGAAGAACAAAGATATGCAGCTTCATAAAAATCAAATTGTTTTTCAGGGGGAAAAGAAACTGCCAACTGAGTTCGATTATTTACAAACACCGTTTCAAACCTTCGGGTACTTTTTCACAGACGAGATTTATAATTTATTGGTTTATCAAACTAATCTTCAAGCATGCCAAGAAAACATCAATACAAAGTTCGTTACAAATGAAGTAGAGATACGGAAATACGTGGGTATATTGATATATATGTCGGTATACAAATATCAAAATTTGAAAAAATATTGGGGAAAGTATGCTTTTACTCCTATCCAAAAATCAATGCGACGAAGTCGGTTTTAGAAAATAAAAAAATATTTAAGTTTTGCTGATGACTCTAATACCATGTCCCCACCGGAGCTAATCACGTAGTTATGGTTGTTGAGTTGGTTATCCCGATAACCCACTTCATTTAGCGTAATTTCGCCATATAAAAATGGCAGCACTTAACCATTTCACCGAGATGGTTAAAAGCTAACCAACTCGAAACCACGTCGAAAGTCTGATACAACCCTGTGTTTTCCCGCCATCTGTGGGTCATTAGCGTTAAAATGTAAAAAATTCGTTCCTTACTAGTGTTTGGACTAGACTAAGATCAGGTTAGATTTACTCCAGCTTTGAAAAAATTTGATATGTACTCATCTACTCCGCTTGACTGCAAATCTATTCCGTTTTTTTTCATTCATGTTATGCCCCTCTTGAGGCCGTTTTTTGAGTGTTCACCACCGGTTTCAGTAAAAAAATTGAAAGTTAGCCCAGTCTCACTGTTAAAAAGTAACTCTTTCATAGCAATGCGTCAATAAAGTAATTTGGTTATTTTTTATGTATGGCTGTAGAAATTGGCGGATGCAGAACTTTACTTAAGTTATTAAAAAATATATGTAGAATGAAATTTATATAAAGTAGAAAAGGTTTAGATCCTATTGCACTTTAAAAAGTTAAGTGTTAGAAACGTTCTACTTTATAGAAAATGCTAAATATTACCTAAATATTTAACGTATTATCCTTACATTGCCTCGCGTTCTTATTTTTGCATGAATAGAAAATATTTAAGTCAAACAATTAATGTCAGAAACGAAAATAAAAAATTCAATCTGGTACAGAATTTTTTTTTTGCTCAGATTTTTAGTCCTGAATCGAGTTGGGGTCCGAACACTGCCACCAAAATGACCTCTGGTCTAAAGCAGTATATGCCAGCAAAACCGCATAAATGGGATATTCAAATATTTGTTCTGTGTGATTCAAACGGCTTTTCCTACATGTTTGAAGTGTACCATGGCAGTGGTGATAATACTATTATTACCGGAATGTTGGATTTAGGAGCTGCAGCAAACGTGGTGGCACGTCTCTGACAAACCATACCAGACTTCAAAAACCATATTCTTTTCTTCGACAATTTTTACACAACTATACCATTGCTCGTATATCTTCGAACTAGAGGTATATATGCTTTGGGTACCATACGTTCCAATCGCATTTCAAACTGTAAGCTTCCAGTCGACAATTCGGAAGAACTCAAAAGGAAAGAACGCGGGTTTTCTATTCAATATGTCGGGAACGTTTTGGGTAGCGATATATCTACAGTCTTATGGAAGGACACAAAAAATTTTGGCAGGAACAGTTTTAAAGGGCATGATGGCAATGAAACTATGCCAAAGGTCACTAGGTCCAATAAAAAGGACCACAAATACGCCGAAATTGAATGTCCTCAAATAATCCGTGAATATAATCAGCATATGGGAGGGGTAGACCTCATGGATGGGCTAATTTTATCCGCTTATTTTATCACCTCGTTGATATGACAGTGGTAAATGCATATTTATTGTTTCGAAGGACACATTCTAACGCCCCAACGAAATATCCGGACGTAGCGAAAGACGAGCTCTTGGTAAACCACCTTTAGCATCAAATTTGAATACTGACGTTGGACAGAAATCATACCGCCCCCCTGAAAACATTCGATTTGATGGATATGAACATTATCCTGCAAGGTTTGATCGATCAGGAAAAAGGACATGCAAAAAATCCGCCAAGGAGAAACACAAACAATATGTAAAATATGTAATATTCATTTATGCTAAGGGATAAATGGATAGCATTAAGGTATTACTTAAATCAAAACTTGTACCTGTATCAATCAAGGTATCGATACCTACTCAGTATCGGAGAGGTGTCCAGTACTTGCACATAGAACTATGATTTTGCATATTTTTCAAAGCTATTGTGTTTTTGTCACAAAAAATATGCACTTTTACAAGATTATTTGTCTTTATATATTTGTTCATATAAAAATTTAAGACAACAATTATTTTTGTATAGTATTTGATGTCAAAAACAATAGAATTCATTTTTACAAGATTGATAGATAAAGTTTTTTCATATTAAATAAGTTTAAGGAAAGAACACCTTTTTTGATATATTTCCCAAAAACATCTACTTTCCAAGTGTTTTCCTGAATGGCGGTTTCGAGATTTTGATATAGTTGTACCTTTTTTTGAGAAAAGCCTCTCTCAAGGGACAGATCCTTATCCTAAGTTTCGCCCGAAAAAATTTTCACCCGAAAATTTTTATTCCGCCCATAGTAATTACGTGGAAACCAAACGTGAAAGCGTACCGGTTCGGGGAAAATGAAACTCATGATAAGGCTCAATAAGTTTTGCGCTTCTGATACAAGTACCCTTTTTCGATACCTACTTGGATCGCAGTAAAAAGTATCGAGTACAAAAATACTTGGTAAATTGAGAGAAGTATCGAGTATGTACTTGGATTTACTTGTATCGACTCATCCCTATTAATGCTTGCAACCAAAAAGGAATTGTTTTCTGGAATATCATTCAAATGACGTGTGTGAATTGGTAACAAAGTTGTATGGGGAAAGCTGTTGAATAATATTTTTGGTAATTCTCTAGGGTGGGGTAACAACCCCTAAAAAAGGTGCGGAAAAGTCGGGAGGGGTACCAAACGACGCGTTTCGGCCCCCCTAATAACAATCCGGAGGGGGAGAGATAATATTATTAACCATTTAAAAGTTATGAACAAAAAACTTTTGTTAAATTTCGTTGTTTTCGATGAGCAATTACACCGACAAAGATTCACTAAATCACCTGTTCACACTTTTTAAACACTATTAAAATATATAATTTAACTTATTTATTAAAGAAACACATAGTTTTATCAACCTAAGATAGATTATTTTGTTATTAAAAAGAAGTTGACAATCTTTGCGAGCTGAAACGCGAGATTCCAAAATAGCTATAGTGCTGCCACTGTATTAGTATTTCGTAATAATTCACTTTTCCTTATGAGATGTGTGCACTGTTCAATGCTTTTCGGTATCTTCTTTCGTTTAATATATATATAAATAATGAAAATTTTTAATAAAAAATCGCGCGATTTTTTATTAAAAATTTTCGCCTGCGGCGCTTTTTCCATAAAAATCAATACTTCGATAAATAATGAAAATTTTTAATAAAAAATCGCGCGATGGTATAGCGAAATTTGCTATTGTTTTTTGGTTACAATATCTTATTTAGATGAAAGTAAAAAGAAGAAGAAGAAGTGTATAGTGTATACTGAGTATAATAGCGCAAATGAAATGTGAAATAAAGTGGCAATACCAGCGATTTGAGGTTATAATAATTTTAGCAGGCGCAAAGTTTGTTTACTCTGTTTTATTAACGAAATATATAAAATAAAAGTGAATAAATGATTTGGTTTGCATAAAATAATAACCGGAAACGTTTTAGTAGTGTTTTAAAAGTGGAAACTGGTGATTTAGTGCATTTTTGACGTGGTAATTGCTCATAGAAAACAACGAAATTTAACAAAAGTTTCTTGTTCATAACTTTTAAATGGTTAATAATATTATCTCGCCCCCTCCGGATTGTTATTAGGGGGGCCGAAACGCGTCGTTTGGTACCCATCCCGGATTTTCCGCACCTTTTTTGGGGGTTGTTACCCCACCCTAGAGAATTACCATATTTTTACTATGGTTTGGCAATCTGCTGTGTGAAATGTAATATTATTTGACAACAGTAAATTTTTGATAACCGCAAATTTATGCGGAATAAAATATTACAAATTGAAGTGACATTAATATTTTAAGAAAACATCTGCCATCGTTGATTGCAATTCATCAATTTAAGCTTTTATTTAACGAAAAATTACACACATACACAATCTTTGCGATTGTCAGAATTTTCTATGTGTTTGTCAAAAATTTTACTATCCTCATGAGCTACTGAAATTTTATTCACCTCATAGTTGTCAAAAATTTACTCGCCGTGAACTTTGTTACCAATTCACACAGGCTCAAAATAAATCATATTATAAAAATGTTAAAAGTCAATAAATCAAAGTTACGCCAATGAAAAGTTTTGTGCTATTTATTATCAACTAAAAAGTAATGACCTCCTACAGGCGGTTTAGCTTAAACCACTTCTAAAAGGTTTTTCCGAATAGCAATTGAAAAACTGGTTTCGGATTCGTGTTTAGGAGCCCAGCATTAGATTAGATTTAGAGGAGGGAGGAGGTCACCTAGTTACCGCGACCGAAACGATCTATTGTAACAAACCTCTATTCAACTACAGGTCATCTTTGATCCACGTACTCTTAAGAAACTTCGCGAGGTCCTTTGGCTGAATGCCATTTAGGTCATGAGCTTCTAGGTACGGTGATCCTAGGAAGCGAAGTCTGGTCCTGGTAAGTTGTAATGTGCTCTGCTGTTTCCTGTTCTTCGGTACACAACCTGCACTGGTCAGAGTTGACAACTCCTATATTTGACAAGTGTTTCATTACCCTACAGTGGCCAGTAAGAAAGCCTGTAACAATTCTTACTTCATGCCTACTGAGGTGAAGTAGTTCTTCGGTTCTCCTTGTTGATATAACCGGAATGAAGGACTTGGCCTGTCTGTTACCTTCCGTATTTGTCAAGTAATGTTGTTGCTTCGTTCTTCATCCAGATATAGTAGTTCCGCCTAACGGAGTTCCATGGCAGACCGGTAAAGGGTCC